TTGCCCAGTGCACATTGTTTCCAACTCCCTTTCAAATTCAAAAAGGATTCTTGATTTTTGTCTAAAAACACAAGACATATATTATGATGAAGAAATGTATTGTGGTGCTTCTAAAACAGAACTTTATGAATTTATTCAGTGTTTGACCATAGATGAGTTAAATAATATGTATTGCAACTGGCTCCGAAAACAATCTGACAAAAGATTTACTGAAATATATGACAATTCATATTTCTTTGAAGATTTAAAAGCTAAAAAATTTTCTGAAATATTTGACAATTCATATTTCTTTGAAGATCTAAAAGCTAAAACTAAACCTTTAAGTAATTGCAGTAGAGAAGTTGAATTGGAACCTTCAAGTGAAAGTAGTGATAGTGAAAGTAATGATAGTGAGAGCAGCGATAGTGAAGAAGAAATCAAAAAGCCAAAAGACTGTAAACGATGGATACACCCATGCAGAAAAAATGATACAGAATTAGGCTGTGGATCAGAGTTATGTGGTGTATGCAAATATGTAAATAAATCAAGTGCTGTGAAGGATTGGTTGAAAGTTCATCCTAAGGATGCATGGGTCCAAAATTTGATCATAAATCCAAAAAGCAAATACAAACCTTGGATTCATCCTTGCAGAAAGAGTATTGAGGAATTAGGATGTGGATACAAGGTTTGTACAAGATGTCAGTACAAGTCTCTGTCACATGCAATGAAGGACTGGTTTGAAGTTCACCCAGAAGATTTTTGGGACCGTGAAAGATTTAGAAATTATTATGGCATAGAGGTGACAGAGTTAACCATATACTCCAAGATTAGTGGAATATGCAGACCTGTTGACTCTCGTGATGTCTTCGTATTTTTAACAGATTTTTAAATCATCTCACGTTTTTGCTATTTGCAGGGGTTGCACATACTGAAATGAAATTTAGTATACAGATTTGTCAGATAAATATCTAGGCCAAGATTTGTTTCGGGTACAATCGTGCCATTTTTGTCAGTTATGCCCCTTGGACTTAGAAAAATTCCAATTATTTACAGTTTCCATTCATTTTCTATGGAGAGGTTTCTCATACTGAAATGAAATTTACTATGCAGATTTATCAGATGATTATCCAGGCCAAGTTCTGTTTTGGGTGTGATCGCACCGGTTTTGACAGAGTTATGCCCCTTGAACTTAGAAAAATTCCAATTACCTGGTATTTGCAGTTTCCGTTCCTTTTCTTGGGGGAGGGGGCATAAGTGTTTTACAAACATCTCTTGTTTAACCATGTATTAGTAATCAGAAAAGCAGTTGTTCTCTATTAATATATCGGTATGTAAATTTCATAGAAAATGAAATCTTACTGGCAAATGCTAAATCTCTTGGACAAATCTAATCAAAAATACGAAAAGGGGGGTATACTGTTTTACCCAAGTTGTGTGTGTCTGTGTCTGTCTGTCCATAACAAATATTTGGTTGCAGTTTTCTCAGCAACTGTTCATTGCAGATACTTGAAATTTAAGCAATTCTCTGCTGAGGCATGTCATATGATGGAATATATTTTTGTTCATTAAAATCCATTATCAACTTCCTGTTTGTGTCTGTCTGCCAATCTCCCATGCAGAGTTGTCGTTCATTCCTCTCTCAGACACCTCTGCAATAGGCTCACATCAATATTTTTGACATAACATATAAAAACATGATACATGTATTTGCAGGATTGTTTCAATTTTATTTAATAGTTCTGGATTGATTTAGTAAATATCTATCTGAAAACTCAGACAGAAGCATAGAAACTGAATTATAATGAATTAAAACAAACACACAATTTCTCGTGTTTAACACTGTGATATACGCTAGCCAATGACAGAGGTGCATGTATGAGCTGATGGTAGAGAGTGTTTGTCTGCACCAATAAATGTTCGTAGCAATTTTCTCACCAAATTCTCATTGCAGATTCTTGAAATTTTAGCATACTAATTGTTGAGGTAGGTATGTCATATGGTGTGATTCGTTTCTGTACATATCTATAATAACTTTTGTCACAGTTTTCTCAGCAACTACTCATCGCAGATGCTGCAAAGTTTAGCACATACTTTGAAGAGACATGCCATATGATGGGATATATTTTTAGCTCACCTCAACGAAGTTGGGGAGCTTATGTAATACCCTTGGTGTCCCATGTTAAGGTTAAGTTTTTTGGAGCAGTTTTCTTTTTAAGTACTTCTATGTCCTATATTGATTAGACATGCATGGAAGATGCTTCTAGTGTGTTTCATTGTACCATGCAGTCAAAGTTTCAGATGCTGCAATTTCAGCAAAGGAATGACCAGGTTAATGTTTTTGTAGCAGGTTAACATTTTTGGTGCAGTTTTTGGCATAGGTCTCATTTCCAAGTAACTATAAGCCCTTTGTTGACCAAATTTGCATGGATGTTACATCTAAGGACTACCAGGCTTGCTTCAGATGCTGAATCTGACCTACATTTTCCGCATGAGTGAACAGGTTAAAGTATTTTGTGCATGTCTCATTTCCAAGTAACTATCAGCTCTATGTTGACCAAACTTGCATGGATGATACATCTAAGGATACACACTACCAAGCTTGTTTCGGATGCTGAATCTGACCTACATTTTCAGGATGAGTGAACAGGTTAAAGTTTTTGGTGCAGGTTTTATTTCCAAGATACTGTTAGCGCTATAATGACTAAACTTGCATGGATGATACATCTTAGGATGCATACTACCAGACTTGCTTCGGATGCTGAATTTGACCTACATTTTCCAGATGAGTGAACAGGTTAAAGTTTTTGGCGCAGGATTCATTTCCAAGTAACTATGCGCTCTTTAATGACCAAACTTGCATGGATGATACATCTAAGGATGCATCCTACCAGGCTGGCTTCGGATGCTGCATCTGACCTACATTTTTTGGTAGAGTTAAGAGGTTAAATTTTTATGCAGGTTTCATTTCCAAGTAACTATGAGCACTATGTTGTGCAAACCTGCATGGATAATACATCTTAGGATGACACTAATGGATTTTCAGATGCTGAATTTAGCATACATTTCCAGATAATGGACCAGGTAAAAGTTATGGGTGCAGGTCTATTACCAAGAAACTATAAGGCTTATATAAACTAAACTTGCAGAAATGATGCATTAAGGGATGAAAACTCTCATACTTGCTTCAGATGCTGGATTTTAATTACATTTTCGTAATGAAGATTGAAGAATTAGTTTGAAGTTTTTTTATAGGTCTATTCCAAAGTACATGTATCATCAAAATTGCATAAATTTTGCATTTTTGGATGTACACATACACTCTTTGTTGGTTAATTGTGTGACTTTGCCTTACTTAAAGACAACATTCGTTGAGGTGAGCTCTATAATCTCTGATTACCTGTGTTTGCTCTAATCTGATGTCAACTTCCTATTTATCCATGCAGCTACTGTAACTGAACCTGTGTATCTTAATATGATCATAGTTTATATTCACTTGCTTGTTATATTCATTTGATATATTGTCTGATATTAAATGTTAAGAAAATTTTTTAAAAAATGTTGCTCAATCATTTAATAATTTTTTTAATAATATATTGAAATACATGTATTGTACATGATGTCACTTTAAAATACTTTTTTTTTTTTTTGGAGCTAGTGCTAAAAGAGGAATTTTCCGGCTTTCTAAATCAATTATGTTTGGACAGTAAGATGCCGTTCTTTTCACTTTTTACAACATTTTTTATACTTTCTGTAATTGTAATTTGAAAGATTGAACAAATAAATGAATAATTTCTGGACTTTATAATATGTACCTAAAGACCAGTATTTAGGTCTCCGTATCACGATACGTATCACACAACAAAAATCACGATATACCGGTATACTGATACAGTGGCACATCCCTTTTGGCCATTGTGGCTCCGCCCTACCCCCGGGGTTCATGATTTGAACAAACTTGAATCTACACTACCTGAGGATGCTTCCACATATATATGATCAATTATGGCTTTGTTATTCTTAAGAAGATTTTTAAAGAATTTTCCTATATATTTCTATGTAAAACTTTGGTCAGCCATTGTGGCCCCGCCCTACCCCTGGGGGTCATGATTTGAACAAACTTGAATCTACACTACCTGAGGATGTTTCCCAATAAGTTTCATTTTTTCTGGCACAGTGGTTCTTGCAAAGATTTTTAAAATATACCACCAAATTTTCATTATTTCAGAATTATCTCCCCTTGAAGGAGAGCGTGGCCCTTCATTTCAAGAAACTTGAATCCCCTTCATTCAAGGATGCTTTGTGGCAAGTTTAGTTGAAATCGGCCCAGCGGTTCTTGAGAAGAAGTCGAAAATGATGTGAAAAGTTTACAGACAGACGGACTCCGGACAAAATGTGATCAGAAAAGCTCACTCGACCCTTCGGCTCAGTTGAGCTAAAAATAATGAATGATTACCCTTTCCTATTCAGTGTTTGACCTTCTTGTCAGTGCCTGAAGAACTAACTCGAGGTTCATGGGCCACAACACTCGACTGAGTCACTTTGGCTCTGCTGTTAAATAGTGCTTCAGATTTTTCATGAATGTTCATGTTTATTTCTTGTGTGAACCATGTACTAGGGAAGTATTTATAACCTTTTCCCTCATCCTTTCAGTTTACGTTCTTTACTTTGGTATCAGATCTAACAAATGGTGCTAGTAAGAGGTTAACCTGTCTTATCCAATATCAGGGAGACAGGAATTTTTTTTTAGATTCAGCAGGATATGTTTATATGATATACTGTAAACATACTACAATTGGCTTTGTATTCTATTTAGCACCTTTCGCAGAAAGCGTCATCTGCTGAATCAAGTATATTGCGAAATTTTTTGTTTTCATATATTCGTATTAAGCAGGTAATTCAAATCAACGCTAACTTGTTTAAAAATCAAAGACAATTTCTGCCAAATATCGTACATGCCAAATAAAATACATTTACAGTATGGGGTGTCACTTGGAGTCCAATACAAAGAATAAGAATCAATCTTCATTTATACTACAAAGTTTATTGACACTATCTCTTCCTCTCTGGTTATACCACTGTTTACAAGGAATACAACAGTACAATTGTAAGTAAAAATGGTCCAAGCAACCAATGTAACATACAGGTCCCATTGAAAAATCACAATGTCTGTAAAAAAAAAAAAATCAGTAAGATCACATAGAAAATCTTAAAAGCTGACACATTATTACATGAAGAAAAGGGGGAGAAAAAACATAGTTTCACACCGAAGTAAAACATTATAGTAAGCTTTACCATTGCATTACTAATCTAACTCCATAATACATGTACTGTATAAATTAAACAAGATTTAACATCTAAAATACAGAAGAATAGTTTACAACCAGAAACTACTGAATCCAGCACCTCAAATATCTTCATATTTTAAGTACTTTCAAAATTAATTTATAATATCTAGATGACGTACAAGTATTTCCCATGATTCAAACATTTGATTTAGCTCAGTGACAACATAATATGTAAATTGTATATGTGAGAATATACTGAGAAAGGAAAACGTCAAGCTTCCTTACTGTACAAAATTTATTAACTCAGTATTGGTTGATTTTCTTATGCAGTTCTTTTTAATAAACACACAATTTTAAAGATCTTGTAGGGTGGGGTATATTGTGTCTATATATTTCAGTTTATTTGCATGTTTAGAAAAAAGAGGAACTTGACCAAACACAACACAAAAATCACAAAACATTTATATCACAAAAATCATCAACCAAAAAAACTTTTATAAAAATGACTATGACAGCAATCATTCATCCAAACTCATTTTTTCTGTATTAGAATAAGACATGAACATGACATACTGTTCTAACTGACCAACAAAGATTAATCTGTTACAAATGAAGGTACATGTATCTTTAAATGCACTGGTTAATTATGACATGAATTCTAGAGTATGCAATATTGGCATGATTTACGGAAAACTTGTTAGTCTTCCACAAATAAGACAACATGGATCTGAGCTAACATGTAAGTTAACATTGCCTTACTCTGTAACACTGTAGACAGGCAGAACAAAGTTTGTGAAGTTTACAATTACACAACAATTGTAAAATCATCTGTTTAACGTCCAAGGCCATTGTTGGTTTTGGCACTATGGCCTACACCTATTTTTAGATGTATGTGAGATTAAGACTAGAGAAATCTACGACTATTTACAATGAAGAGAGATCATGATTAAGATAATAAAGGCAATGGATTTCCAGGTATTTGATCTTAAATGGCACCTCTTATTCTCCCATACAACATAATGGTGTTGTACAATATGTAAATTATTTAGAAACTTTGTCTAATCATACAATAAAAAAAAAACTGCATACAACTGTTACACTTACTCTGGATAAATAAATGAATTGTCAATAAAGTAGTAATTCAGATCTCACTCAGATCTGCAAATCATTATGCTTGAGCCAGTCTTATATATGACATCTTACATATGGCTTAAAATGTGTACAAGTTCAAAGACTAATTTGGTACTTAAAACCTTTATTTATAATACATGAATATGAACTCAAACCTTTACCAAGCTTGGGCAAATTCATTGAACCTAGCACCACAAGGTGAAAATTGTAAATTTTCTAAAATAAAAAATTCATAAAGTTTATTTTATTGTTGAAAGTCTAATACTAGAATTTGTAGATGCTTTTAAAGGTGGGAGAACAACATATACATATAAAGCCATAATAACAAATCTGAATGGTTAAACCAACAAAACAATTATTGGAAGGAACATTCACTATCATACAAACTAACATAATAAATAGATCAACCATTTTACTATAAAACAACACAGATTAGCTTTATTTTGTCTGTAAAAGCTATTATGTAAAAAATAAAATACTGACGATTGAAATTAAAATCAGAAATAAAGTGAAAGCACTAACATGAGACATTTAACAAAACAGATCTATATCTTAAAAAGATTAAATAAAACATTGTGAAACTTAACAGATCAGCACCAAAGTCAATTTCTAAATTGTTTCAAACTTATTGTAGATTTGTAAAAAGTACCCTTTGTAGAAACCGGGACAAAAAATTATAAAATATTCTTAAAATAATGTCAAAGATATAAAAATGCAGTTATAAAAGTATGGTATAACCATTACTACAATCATTCAATAATTATTGAAGGTGAAATCTTGTAGAGATCATACAATACCAAGAAACTCTTTCTTCTAAAAAAGTATTTTTATGACTTCATATTCCTAACATGTAAAATCATAACTGTAAACCAAAAATAATTGACAATATCTGTCTCAGGCAGTTTACAAAACAAAATTATTCTCTATATACCTAAAATACTGACTACATTGAATGGATGACTTGAATTTTTTAAAATCCCAGAAGTCATTGCAACATCACAAATATATCCTGAACTCACTCTCACAAAATGATAAAAATATTAAACAAAACACAAATGGTAACTGTCATGTAATTACATAAATGTGGACACAAAAATAGGTATCAAACCAGTAATATTTACAAAGATATAAAATGACAACAAATACTGACTCAGGACTACATACATGTAATATTACAGAAATGTAAATTAAATAAAATTCCTAATATCTCCTCCTAACACAGCCCTCCTCTTTGGTTATAACTACGAAATCTTCTCCCTAATGATGTCGTTTGAAGAATGGCCATGGTGAAAAGTTATCTTTTCTTCGAGGGTGCAGAACTTGTATGGATCATGGGAAATTTCTAAATCCCCATCATGATCCCGAACTCGATTTTTGAGTTGGTGAGTTGTACAAAATATCCATTGTGTGTTTCTTGCGAACAATTTTGACACCCCCTGGAACATTTTCTGCGAGTCCATTTTTAAATGACAATTGCACTTCTGATTTTCCAAACCGGGCTTTCAACCTGAAGCAGAGCAGAGAAAATGTCACCTCTCTAAAAATTAGTGTACCATACTTCAATAGGATATAGCTCAGTTGACACACCAGTGTTATGATTCATGTCATTACTTTGAATAGATATCAATTCTGAGCTTGGCAAAACACTTGTTTTTTACTTACATGGGAGCTATATGAACCTCTGGTAATTTCTCAGTAAGGTTTTTGATGAGCAGGCAGACTTTGGACACAAGTTCTATTGAATGATCACACAGGAAAACAAAGTCACCTTTCTTGGACAAACCATCTCCATTTTCATGCTGAAAGAAACCAGAAGTCTCTGTGGAGACTGTAGCTCTACTGGTTTGTACTGATCAAAAACCGATGCACAGAATTATGTATCTTAGTGTAGTCTACTTGTGTGATAAGTTATATTGAAATCAGACCAAAACTGTAGAAGGAGTAGCATTTTAAAGGAATTCCACAGAAAATTCTACTTTTAGTAAACATGGCAACACCGTTCATTGAAATCAAAAACCGATGCACTATTATATGTAAATTAGTGTAGTCTACTTGTGTGCCAAGTGATAATGAAATCAGACCAAAACTGTAGAAGGAGTAGCGTTTTAAAGGAATTTCACAGAAAATCCTATTTTTAGTAACCATGGCAACACCTTTCATCGAAATCAAAAACCGATGCACAATTTTATGTATTTTAGTGTAGTCTACTTGTGTGCCAAGTAATACTGAAATCAGACCAAAATTGTAGAAGGAGTAGCCATTTTAAAGGAATTTCACAGAAAATTCTATTTTTAGTAACCATGGCAACATAATTCATCGAAATCAAAAACCGATGCACTATTTTATGCATCTTAGTGTAGTCTACTTGTGTGCCAAGTGATATTGAAATGAGACTAAAACTGTAGAAGGAGTAGTGTTTTAAAGGAATCTCTCAGAAAATTCTATTTTTAGTAACCATGGCAACATCGTTCATCGAAATCAAAAACTGATGCACTATTTTATGTATCTTAGTGTAGTCTACTTGTGTGCCAAGTAATATTAAATTCAAACCAAAACTGTAGAAGGAGTAGCATTTTAAAGGAATTTCTCAGAAAATTCTATTTTTAGTAACCATGGCATCACCATTCATCAAAATCAAAAACCGATGCACTATTTTATGTTCCTTAGTGTAGTCTACTTGTGTGCCAAGTTATACTGAAATCAGACCAAAACTGTAGAAGGAGTAGCGTTTTAAAGGTATTTCTCGGAAAATTCTATTTTTAGTAACCATGGCAACACCGTTCATCGAAATCAAAAACCGATGCACTATTTTATGTATCTTAGTGTAGTCTACTTGTGTGCAAAGTTATATTGAAATCAGACCAAAATTGTAGGAGGAGTAGCGTTTTGAAAAATTGTTTACAGACAGATGGAACACAAGATAGACGGACGGACGCTCTGTATATGGAACACAATGATATTACTATCGCATAAGCTCTTCTCTGTATATGGAACACAATGATAGTAGAGCTAATAAAAAAATTCAATATTGTTTGTTCTTTGCCTTACACTTTACACTTATGTGATTTTACGTTTAACTCATTACCCTCTGTATATGGAACACAATGATATTGTCTCTAGATTTTACACCTAACATGGAACAAATTATATTTGAAATAACGGCAATCATATTCAACTACTTTTATTAGTAATCTGTATAAATGTAGCACAGTGATATTGTCAGAGAATAGTCTAGTTTATAGTAACTACTGTATATGGAACACAATGATATTGTCTTGGTGAGGTCTTAATATTCTATGCTATATTCACGGTGTTAATAAATCCGTGAATTCAAGAAACAGTGAATAAATTTTCAATAATGTCAGTGTTTTATTTGGAAAGTAACTACCCTCTGTATATGGAACACGATAGGTTGATATACATGTACATGCAGTACATGGAACCGTTTCAGTAATTATAGTAGTATCCTCTGTATATCATGTTATTTTGGGTTATCACGCTTTACTTTAACTTCAAATCTGTATATGGAATAACTCGTGATATTGTCTCAAAAGCTATTTTAATACCCAACGCTACTGTATATGGAAACAAAATATTGTCTGGATTTTGATCACCCGTGCGTAATAGTAATTTTACCACCTCTGTATATGGAACACTGCATTATCATGCATGTTAGTTTTTTTTCAACATTTTGGTTTTTAACAAATCATTCAGATAAATATCAAACTTACTGAAGATGTGGAAGATATTATTTCGGTAACTACTCTGTATATGGAACACATGATATTGTTCCGTAGTGTATATGGAACATGATGATTTTCTAGTTAACAGTAACTACCCTCTGTATATGGAACACAATGATATTGTCTTGGGTGTAACATACCCTCTGTATATGGAACAGCATATAGGAAAGTCATTTGACGTTTAGAGTGTAGGACTTTTAATAATTGCACTTGTTTTAATTAATTATTAATGATATCCATCAATTTTATATAAACCTACCCTTTTGTTCGTGAAATAAAAACAAAGGAACACAATGAATTGTCTGGGTGTTATATATGTAGCTATGGTATGGATTAAACGAATATAGACAAGGGGGGTAACTTTTATTATATACCTCTGTATATGGAACACAATGATATTGTCAGGGTGTGGACTAGTTTATAGTAACTACTTACCCTCTGTATATGGAACACAATGATATTGTCTGGGTGTGGTCTAGTCTATAGTAACTACTTACCCTCTGTATATGGAACACAATGATATTGTCTGGGTGTGGTCTAGTTAACAGTAACTACCCTCTGTATATGGAACACCATGATATTGTCTGGGTGTGGTCTAGTTAACAGTAACTACCCTCTGTATATGGAACACAATGATATTGTCTGGGTGAGGTCTAGTTTACAGTAACTACCTACCCTCTGTATATGGAACACAATGATATTGTCTGGGTGTGGTCTAGTTTATAGTAACTACCTACCCTCTGTATATGGAACACAATGATATTGTCAGGGTGTGGACTGACGGACATGGCGGAGATATCGGTGATTGGGATTCGGTACTTCATCATCATACTATGGTGCTCAACCAGAATGAGGTTCTGAGAACTTATCGCTAACAGCCGCTCCACCGACTGAAATCACAAACGTTTAGATATATGTACAGTATTTCCATGTCTGACTCATTAATGAAAAGATAATTAATAAAGTTTTTGTTCAAAACAGTTATATGTGAAAATTAACAGATATCAACTTTCCATATAATTTTTAACATGTATTTGGTAATTACAACTGACAATATTTGCATGTCCCTGCACTTACTTTTCCATTTGCGCGATGAACTTTTTGGACAACATCTGCAAACACAATATGATTGTCTTCAGGGATTTGTCGTTGTAATTTCTTCCATTTTTCATTTGCCAGAATATTCTGATAATCTCCCTTGAATGGTTTGGGCACACTGAAATAGAAAAATACTGTTACTTCAAACATTCTTTTCAAAGAAATTTTTAAATATGTACCACCAGTAGCTTATCTTATTTTCCTCAATATACACGACAAGAAGTTGTTTTATCATCCTACCTTTTGGAATACCCGTCCTTCTTGCCTTTGAACAGTTCACTGGCCATCAATTTCTCCTTCATTTTATATTTCTCCGCCTCATTGAATTTTCTTCTGTACTTTCGACACTGTTTACAAATTGAAAATAGGGTATCAAATTTGCAATTTTTAATTATGAAAAAAGTTATTAATTAGGGATGGCAATCGAATACAGAATTGCTAATGGGTTTAACTGCAAGACGTTATGACCGATAAATTGTTTAATCATATCAAAATACGCATTTTCTTCAGTTTTTTTAGGTACTTCTTTCCTTATACATAAAAGGACTAAAGAAGACGATAGAAGTAAAAACATTCCATGTTTTTTAATTCATAAAAAAAACTACTGTTATATTTTTTGAATTCAATTTCAATGGAGAAGAAAAAAAATTAGGAAACCATGACATAAGCCTAAGAAAGCATTGAAAATTTCAGAGCAGATGTCACTTGAGTTCATTTTGCATAAAAGTGTTACCAGTATCAAAACTTAATCTGAACTGTAGCCATTGCTTTACAATGTTTGTTTAATAATTTAATTTGATAAATAGATAACTGAAAATGTCAAACATACCAATTTTTCGTAATCAGAAATATTCAATTATTATCATCAAAGAAGTATGTGACAGTCGGATAAAAGCAGTGTTTTTACAATAATTAACACTACACAAACTGACCAATTACCCAACGGTCTCAATTCAGAGTGTCATAATTACTTTGCTCTTAAACAGGTTAAATAGATTTATTTAACTTACAGCTAAATTAACAACCTTTGTGCAGAAATTTCAAATTTTATTTGAAGAAATGTGTTTTATTTTACATATCGTATATACTCGCCTATAAGTAGGTTGTAATTTTTGCATTTATTTTGGAGGGATTTGTCATTGACCTGCTTATAAGTTGGTACAAATTTTTTGCCAGAATCGGTTTACAATATGCAAAGTTTTGACCTGGTTTCAATCGAAATTTTCTTTCAAAATGACGCAGACATTTAATTTTAATTCATTAAAATAAAAATAAGTAACGCATAATAAAATTTATGAATATTTGTACTTAATGCATAATCTTAGAATACAAAAATGATTTAATATATAAAGACTTTGATCAACGATGATCAGCAGGATTATTTGAAAAATACTACCTTTTGCCATCCAGAAAAATACTATTGTTTCTATGACTCGCCTATAAGTCGGACACAGAGTTTGTATCAAATTTTAACTCCCAAAACACCGACTTATAGGCAAGTATATACAGTAAAAAAATTTTTCCGAGTAAGGCCAAAATAAAATTATATAGGCAAGTATATACCAAAAGTAGGAAGATTTTTTTTTATTTAATTAATATTTTTTTTTACAAAACACTGAAATATAGTGTCAACTATGTGAAATTAGGTTTTCAATTTCAGCAATTCCAAACAAACATTTTTTTTCTAATGTCAAAAATATTCAATGGTATCTTTGTAGAATCAAGTTTCAAAATATTTAACTCTAGAGACGGGTGAAAATCACTCACCCTCCAGGCATGGTACATCACTCTGAGTTGATCTGATGCTGCCTGAAATCTTTTTGGACATTCTGGCCACTCTTTGTCAATTGGAGATAAACTCGGCAACTTGCTTTTCAAGTCAAGTAGGAATTTCTTTCGCTAAAGAGAGATTCAGCAAATTACAACAAGAAAGAACTGATAATTTTCAGCATTAGAGAAATAATCGTTGTAAACATCCTATACATTTCAGGCTTCAGATACATACCAGGGCTATAACAAAGAATCTAGCAATCTTTGGACCAGCAATCCTACGGAACTTAGGTTGGAACTCCTTTCTGACTTTATAACCCATGTAGAATTTCCTGATTATGATTGCTGATTCTATCTCAAGCTTCTCTCGTTTCAATTTCCTGAGCAAAGCTCTAGCCTGAAGAAATAAATTTTCTGTGAACTTTGAAATGTTACAAGCCATTATCTGTTAAAGAGAGATTGATTGTAATTTTAATTATGTAGAATTCTTTAGTTTGGAAGATAGTTATGTATAAGAACATTTGATATAAACTTTCATATTAAGCAACTTAAACACATGCAAACAGAACAAAAACATCACAGAGGCATATAAACGTCATGCATAAAAAATAAAGTTGTTACAAATTCTGTGAGTGAAGGCATAAGGTGTGTCTATTATTTGTGAATACAGTACTATGTAAAAGATGGACAACTGAGTGTAAAATAAATTCCTTGAAATTTTACAAAAAATATCAGCATTAAAAAAAGAGAAACATTTAAATCTTCTATAATTATAGTGACCCACTGAGATTGTACTGAGAATACTGTAGATTTCATTGAACAAAATGCTGGCTGTTCAAGGTGCAAGTCATTGTTGGTATAAATACAAAGAATAATCAATTAGATGCTGACATGCTAGGAATTTTATGAAACTTTCAGCCCATTCATTTCATAATGTAAACATGCTTATATATACACTCTTGATACAGTGACAGGTGATTTTTACCAATTTTTTTTTTCTTTATTCGCTCAAAACCAGATCACTGGTACAAGAGGTACATATATACATATATACAAACAAAAAATGACAGTCAAGGGTCAAGAAATAGACATGTTACTATATAAAGAAACAAGAAAAGAGTGAGAAAAACATGATTGCTGCAGTATTTAGCATGATTGAATCTCATATTCTCTCTAAACTGTGCACAAATTGTTGCTTTTACATGTAATAACTTTCAACAATAGTTACAAGTTTTATTAAAGTTAAAAAGTAAAAGAATGTTTTAGAGGTATGGAGGCCCATTGAGACAAAAGTAAAAACAGGATTCCATGCATTTATAGATTCAAAAAATCAGATCTGTCAGAACCAAGTGTACATAAAATAAGCTTCTTTTTCCTTTATCTCAGCATATTCAATAGACTTTATAAAAATGATTGAAAATCAACCATATGAACAAAGGAAGTTGCTTTAAACTTCTTATTAATATATCACAACTTTATCCTTTTTAACCGAAGTGAAACTATGCTACTTGATTAAGTCTGCACAACACAATAATCATACACACTGCTATGTGAACAAAAAAGCTTTGTTAGAAAATCTGCACATCAATCTGCTCAGAAGAAAGTTGTTGCAATTGTGAAACCCCATCAAGGCCCGTTGTTTCTATACATGTACTAGCATTATGATTTTAAAGAAAAATGTCATTGCTGCAATAGATTTGTAAATATGGAGTCGTAGTTAAATTTTGGCAAGAACAGATGAGGTCATTTGCTACAATGAACTAAATCTGATAATGTATTTACAACCATGAAACCTATTGTTACCTTCAACAAACTGAGAGCAAATTCTGCAAAATGAAAAGATGTTACTTGGAAGAGATAGCAACTGAGACCGGGTTTTGAATTGTTGACTTGGAAGGAATCTTGTACACCTTGGAAGCAGGTGGAAAGGGGTTGACACATATGTATCTACTATAACTTAGAAGCAGTTAGCCTGTAGGAGGGGTTAACTTGTTATTGGGTGAGTTTTACAGCTAGTTGATTGAAGACTTGATCAGTTAACTATTGCCAGGGACTCAAAGGCATTTGACGTGTTTCTATTTGTAGATAGATAATTTGCATATCCAAATTCCATATGAAAGAAATTTTATCAATAAAGAGAAATCCTTTAAATGTTAAAAGCCTGTTCAGTGACTCATACAAGTGCTTTACACTTCATTGAAGAACCAGTTGATAGAATTCATCAGAGGATTGCTGCTATTAATGAAACTAAACACAAAGACTAGATAATGAAATTTAAAAGGTGTTCTAGATGGAACCAGCTAGCTAACTGTAGAAAAAAAAGAGGTGCATCCAGAAAAGGATTTCTTAGAAATCATACAACATGGACAACTACATTAATTCTATTTTTTATTTTTTTTTTTACCATGAATCAATGATGACTCCCTGCTTATATATTTTTGAGGGGATAAAACATTTTTTAAAACTTTATCATGTACAGATCATTGACAAATATTTCTTTTTTTTTGTTACTTTAACACAGAAAAAAGTTGACTTTTATACGTAAAGCAATGAAAAACAATTGCACAGAAATTGTAGATCTAATTGGTTCTAAGTACAGTACGTGTATCTCTAGATCTACTGTTTTATAGAACTCTTAGTAGGTCTGGGAGTTAGTTTTTGTTAGAATTAGTGGTGACAACGTGCATATATATTTGGTGTTGGAGACTATATATAAGAATCTGGATATATTAGGCCCAGCAATCCTACAGAGTTTGGGCTGGATTCCTGTCTTACTTTATAACCCAAGTAGAATTTCCTGATCACATTAGCTGATTCTATCTCAAGCTTCTCTCGTTTCAATTTCCTGAGCAAAGCCCTTGCCTGAAGAAATAATGATACTCAATAAATTCTATTTTTTGAAACTCCATAATTATTTCTACAAGTTAAAATAAGTATGTGATATATGTCCTTCCCAAGCTGGGTTATCTTGTAACTATTTTGTTTCAATCCTGTTTACCCACCTTCCAACCTCTGGCAAAACATTGCAACACAAGGGTAGCATGTTTGGTCTTTTTGTACATCTTCTGCCCCTAAAATGAGTAAAGGTTTTGTTACTGTGTATTTTTATAAAAAAAAATCTTTTTCAGTTGTTAGTTGGGAAAAGAAATGATCAAGTATTTTCAATTTTTCTTTTATAATTAAAACAGATTCATCCATACACTGATATAATGAATAGAGGTACAAGTACGGAAAAAGTGAAGCAAATCTTAATGACAGGAATATGTCATCTTTCGGGTAATTACTGGTATTATATGATTTCTTACAAGGTTACCCTCTGAAGTGAGCCCTGATATTTCCCAGCATTCTTTGTTGATTTACCCAGTATCCTCTGAAGCGAGCTCTGATATTTTCCAGCATTCTTTGTTTACTTATCCAGTATTCCCTGAAGTCAGCACTGATATTTCCAAGCATTCTTTGTGTACTTAACCAGTATCATTTGAGTGAGCCCTGATATTTCTCGGCATTCTTTGTTAACTTACCCAGTATCCTCTGAAGCGAGCACTGATGATGACCTGGCTTCTTTTCATCAGACGATACAGGGTCTTCTGTCTCCATCCCTTGAACACACTCTGAATCTTTGTCGCCAAAACATGCATGTGCTGCCTGCGTTTCTCCTCCATGTCAAACAGCTAAAATTACAGCCAATCATACAAGATGCTAAGTTTATAGTCTAAATGGATATTTTACCATGTAATAACAATTAAATTAAAAGTCAATCATAAAAGATGGTAACTTTACGGACTAAATGAGTATTTTTCAAACTTATTTGCCAGCTGCCATGAAAAACCATTTTACTCTGACTTCATCATAAAATATTTGCCAAACCTAGACCAAAAAACTAATTTTATGAGGTTTTTGCTTTTATTTCTGGATGTTAAACTTACTGTTTTGGGATTCCTAATAAATAACTTTGTTTTGCCAAATGCATATTCATCCTCTGGAACCCCTTGAGCTTCCAGAAGAATTTTGACCCCTTCCTGGGGTTTTCCAGCCCATCTTGGCCAGGTAGGACCTGCCAACATTTTGTAACGATACAAAAACTGAAGATAGATCTGTCGGAAGGCATAGCCAGCTCGCTTCACTCGAACATTCTCCATCAGACTGTAATGAAAACATCAAAATCATGTATTAACTGGCTTAGCTTGACAAATGTCACTTGATTGTCACATCAAATGAATGTTTGAGAAAAAGAAACTGCTCATTTTTATTACAGTGTCTCACTCACGATCTAGAAAATTTGGGTAAGGTGCAGCATTTTAAAGCAAGACAAGTACATGTATAATAAATGCAGATCGAACCATACAAGTTAAGTAAATTTATGTTATAGCCAGCAATATCAATGTTATAAGTTGATGTTTTCATTGATATGGTTCATACAATACTCTATTTGATCTTTTGAAAGGTAATAATGATCCTACCCCAAATATCTCACTTGATGTCGAACCAATTTCTCATCAAAGTTGTTGGCTGCTTTTGAATTGTTTGGCTGAAAATCAGAAACAAAAGAATTAGATGGAATAAGATACAAATTATTTAACACTTGAAAACTGTACATCACTAAATTTTCGCAAAACCTTATTTTCACGAGATAGTCATTGACTCTTTATTAGTGAGATATAATTTTCATGAATTGTTGTTAATCCTCTATATAATCATAAGGAATACTTTTATATACGAGAATGAAATTTTTGCAAGCTCATTGTCTTGCGTAATTACGTGAAAATAAAGTTCTTGCAAATAAAATGTGATTTGTAGTAAATTCAAATCATTTTACTGTAATGTTTTAATTTAATTTAAGAGTTTCATAAAGTTATCAATCTTTTGGGGGTCAAATTTAATGGAGAATATGAAATTGTGAGCGTCTTAATTCATATCCTAAAACCCAGAAAAATTAACCACCAAGAAAATCAATGATTTCACATAGTGCTATATTTTAAATCACTATTTCAATTGTGGTACTTTCACTTTTAAATTATCAATTATTGCATTGAATAGAAAACATCAACATACTTTAATGCATCTTATATAGATAGGGTTCGGTCGAGGACAAATTCCTATGTACTAGACCGATAACTGTAAAAAAAAAACAATTTAAAAAAAACATATATTTTTTGTAAACAAAGATCTCATTACTTGTCAATGATAAATAAATGTGTGAAATGTTTCTAATCACATTTTTTGAAAGAAACTACATAACTAACAACAGTGTGTGCAAACAAGCAGTTATTATTAATAACAGTCACCTTTTGTAATTTAGAAAGCATTCGTAACTACTTGGGCATTTTCCTTGAGAGAAACAATAAGCTATTTATGGTTCGTGAAAATGGCTGAGTGGTTACGATTGTCATTTCGAAAGATTCATGTTTACGACATCTGTAAACCTTGTAAATGGCAAAAAAACTATGATAATAACACTATTTTTACTATACTTAAATTCTCTAAAACAAATTTTGCAGTTATGAAATAAAGGTAAAGTTTTTATATAGCTTGCTGGATAGCTGAAAAAAAAAAATAGGGTATAGATATTTGGTCTAACAAGTAACATTAGGTTTAAATATGTCATTGTTTATGGTATCATTAGTTTGATGGAATTACGAAATATGGCTTCATACAACATTGAAATCAACTCAATTTACCTGTTAAAAACTAATGATATCAAAATAATATCGTGATCGGCATACTTTAACAAACCTAATGTGATAAGCCAAATTCTCTACCCTATGATTTTATCCAGCAAGCTATTGAAAACAAAATTATTATAACAGTTCATGTTAATTTGTAATGGTTTCGATATTAATATTGTATACAAGTTGAATAAGTTAGGACTACAACGACAAGCCACATAATTATATGACCTAGTTTCGATGTTGACATGTGTGCGGGAAAGTGTCATTATTTAAATACAGATTACATTGTTAAAGATAAACCAATACAATTAAATAAGTTATAAAAAGATTATTCATATATTTTCACTAGTTCGTACTTTAAATATTTTTTAGTTTAGTGAATAGTCAGGGCTAGTGGTTAAGGGTAAGGGCTAGTAAAAATTTGCCAGAGTAGCCCGACTGGTCTAGTATTCCAAGAGCTTAATGTCAAACCCTGATTTATCAATTATTGCATTAAATAGAAAACATCAACATACTTTAATGCATCTTATGTAGTTAGGATTCTTTGAGGACAAATTCTTCATGAGTTCTGTCACAGATAACTGTAAAAAACAATAAAAAAGACATTACAAACCTGTCAATCTTACTCTCATCACTTCTCCATAAATCTGTATCTTGTCAGACATGTGTGCAATACATGATAAAACCTAATTCTGAGAGTCATACAATAATTAAATATAATTCATTTTCGCTCTCCTAATAATAGCAAATCTTGACTCACTGGTCAAGAAACCAAATATTAGTTTGAGGAAAAAACATTGATTAATTACATTACATTTACAGTTGAACTTCAGTATCTGGACACTAATATTTTGAATATATGGATATCTGGATGTAAGTTTAAAGTCCGAACCACATTTTCTCTGTTACTTTGGCCTCAATGTTTAGAACCCTCAATATAATACTGAAGTTTATTCTCAGTCAATTTTTCCTTTAAATTTTGTTCCTGCTGTATCTTTTTACATTTATGTGATAAGATAAATCATTACCTTAAATTGTGAGCCTGCTGTGGCTGGTCTTTTCAGGGACTTCTGAGATGGATTTCCTTTTAAACAGAAACACAGTAAGAATTAGCTAAATAAGTTGAACTAAGTTGAACTAGGTTAGGTTCAAACAACTTGGTAAAGCCTAGCAATAAATTCACTATGTATAATTCAAGAGAAAAAAGTTAAATTGATAGATTTTTCCAGTACATAAATATTCTTTACACTAAACAGTCAATTAAAATTCTCTTTTCCTCATCCCCACCTCCAAATTAAGGGAAAGTTACCACTTTGTAACTGAGAAAGTACATGTGTATTGAGTTTTTTGCTCACCCTCTGGGAACAGCCCTTTCATGAGGCAGTGTTTACACTGGTACATGGCCTGAGACAGATGCCGGAACAGGAGGTCATTGTTCTTATCCAGAAAGCCATCCACTTTGTAAGTCACCTACAGAAATACAGAGAACACATATATTTTTTTTTCTTTTTAAATAAATCATATTCAGTTTATACATAGTAGCAAAAATTTCTGGAGTTTCTGCTAAAAGAAAAAACCAAGTCTTTCTGTAAAAGTTTCTATAAAAAAAAAAACTTTGTTTGATAATGGCCAATATCTGACAACACTTTGTTAGTGCATTCATAAATTGTCTCTAGCTAAAAGTATCTATGCATTATTTTCCTATATGGTGACATCATGAATTTAATACCTGTATGACATAAATTCAACATTTTAACAAATTTCGAAGAAAAATGTATTTTATATAAAAAATTGGATTGGAAAATATAAAGCAAAAGTGTGCTTAGACTCCTTCTTGCAATATAATTTGAAGAATGTAGATGAATTACTAATAAAAAAGACATTATACACCTGTTGAGGGGACAGTAAATACTCACGTTGCCTGCGTAATGTTTGAGTCGGAATGTGCCGTGGGTCAGGGTTTGTGACAGTAAATACTCATACTCACGTTGCCTGCGTAATGTTTGAGTCGGAATGTGCCGTGGGTCAGGGTTTGTGACAGTAAATACTCATACTCACGTTGCCTGCGTAATGTTTGAGTCAGAATGTGCCGTGGGTCAGGGTTTGTGACAGTAAATACTCACGTTGCCTGCGTAATGTTTGAGTCGGAATGTGCCGTGGGTCAGGGTTTTGTCATTCTGACACTTCTTCAGAGCTTTACTCTCGTAGTGAGGGTGATCTTTACAGGCCTGGTTTAACTTCTCTAGGAATGTCAAGTCAGTGGGGTTTCCTGGTCGCATGCACTCCTCATCCAGAAGGGCCAGGATCCCAACATTAGACTGGAATAACAACAAAAATCTATCATATAATTAAAGATTTAAAAAGATAAAACAAAACATTTAAAGGTATGAAAAAGATCCAATGCTTAGATATTATGCCAAGAGAACAGATAGATAATTCACTGTACAGATTCATTTTTTAACTTCAACTGTACTTGTAATGGATATTCCTATTATGAACCACATAGATCTAGGGAATATTCCTCCTATTCCCATACTACATATCCCTCACTAAATTAATATACAAAAAAAATATTGCAAAGGAAGGTGTAACACTTTTTAAGTAAGAGAAATAAATAATTTTCATCTTGATTTGCAATATTTTTATAAACTATCTCTTAGATTCACAAATCATTCCTGAGCATAAACTATGTAGAAACTAGAAACTAGTTTAAAGTCAACTTAAGTTTAAAAACTTTCAAATGTTTGTAACAAAAAAAAAAATAAGAATTATTCTAGACTATATTATTGTCATGTCTAAGAATAATAATAAAACAGTATTTCCATGTTATCAACGTTATGTACATTCCTAGCAAATATATCATTTATTCCAATTCTTTTGACAGTATAGATGAATAATGCCACTATCAGCAGAAAAGGCTAAATTCTCTCATTTTTCATTTATGATGAATTTAAATTGTATAGTAACACTTAAAGCAAACCCACCACAAGGTATAAAACTGCACATGGGTTACTGTTAGAAACTATTTACATAAGTGAATTAATTAATTCTTTCACAGACAATCTTTGTTATAGTTCAGTTTAATGTATATTATACTCTTTGATCTGCTTTACTGCTTACATATTTCACCACACAATGGAGCAAACAGCATCCCTCTGGGTTCATTTCAGATTGACTTTTCACCTGACCAATCAGCATGTAACTTCCCAAGCTGTTGATAGGACTAAGTAAGCTCATTCAGTGAGCTAAAGAACATCTGACCTGGATCAGGCCTGGGGGCCATAAAACTTAGATGAGCTCACTTTTGATCTAAGTCTTATTTATACAATGGAAGTTATAGTTGAAAAGTGAGACTGAGATCAAATGTGACCTTGTCTAAGTTTTATAGTTCCAAAGCCTATTAGTTATAAGTAATGCTAATGACCCCCCCCCCCCCCCCCCCATCTTCAAGACTTTTCCCACAATCAAATGGTTTCAGTTAAATAAGAAAATCCTCAAAATGATTAATGACTGCTTCAAAATGAGAACAATTTGTTTCTCATTATTTCACCTTTCTTGTCATTGAATTTTCAGTACCGGTAGTATTTATATCTGCGTAAAAATCTTAGAGGAACCCAAATGGGATGTTGTTGATTTCTTTGTGTAGCAACCTTGTAGGAGTGCATCAAAGAATCTTGTTTTAATTAGGCTGTGTTATATCTGTCTACAGTATTAACTATTGATAATAAAACATTGATTTTATTAAGTCTAATAATGCTAATGATCTAGTTGGACATACACATAAGACAAAGGGTGCAAAATACTGACTTACACTTTTTTTTACAGGGGGCTGAAAATAAATCATGCAAGGTTATAACATCAAGCAAATTAACTACACTATATACCTACATTAATAACAATGCAATGACAACTCAAGTGTGAGGAAACTGATGTCAGAAAATAACTTTCTCATGCAATAAAAGGTTTCACATATCTATATAGCATATCATTTACTGGTAAAATATTATTAAATACAACAAACATTCAGTTACGATGTCATTTTATGTACTGTTACTGTCATGCAAAATTGATTCATGCCTGATTTGAGATTTATTGCTGACTAGAATTACATATATGTTTACATGTCTACATGTGTGTGATACCACAACACCTCACCTTCTCAACCAAGTCACAGATGACTGCATTGTTGAAGTACTCTATATGGATCCATTCGATTCCCTAAAACATAAAAAATACATACTGAGTTGTGATAAAACACCTGCTCTGCCAAGTCAAACTATTGCAGCATTGCCTCCTCTATTCTCTAGCAAAGAAGACAAATGTTCAGTTTTATGATTTTCTAGGAACTCATTAATTGTACTTTTGTACAAGAATGTGATCTATTAAATTGATTATGACATTAATGGGTATTTAATAAATGACAATCTAACAATTTTAAATAATAACATACATGTAGTAAGATTTTCAAATAACTATTTCAATTGAAAAGCATACTAGTGATCCTTAGTTATTCTTCAAGCTATTTTGATATTTTGAATGCATTAAGTGACATACTCTCATAACTCTTAGTATGATCTTCTAGTTATGTATCTTGAAAAACAAACTTGTGTATTTCCTTCAGATATATTTCAAGCAATGAAGAATGAACAATAATAGTATTAATACACTAATATGTACCTCCTTTATATATTCTTCCTGTTCTTCTTTCAAGGTTAGCTCTATAAATATTTGTTGGAGTTTCTCATTGCAATAGTTGATGATAAACTGTTCAAAACTGTTTTCCTACGAAGCAATGCATAAATTAAAAAAATTACTTAATCTTCTCTGTTTAGTTTACTGCTTATATAAACTACATGTAGTATTTACATAATGTACTTACAAATAACTTTACATCAAAATAGTCATTAGTTAAATAATTTTGTATGTTTTCAAAATAGTTTTGACTACTCACTTCAAAGACTTCAAATCCATAGATGTCGAGGACACCCATGACCTCTGTCCTGATTCCAGAGGTCACCTTGATGCTATCATTAATGCGGGCCACTAGCCAGGAAAACATACGGCTGTATATAGCTTTACACAGGGCATCTCTAGCATACATTCCCTGTAAACATTAAGAGAAATATGTTTATTATATACCTAATGTAAATCACTCAATTTTACTATAGAATTAACGCAATCACGTGACATCATGATCCGACTTTCCGAATCACCATACTGTGGTTTTCTGAATCCATATCACCACTCTCTGAAACTGTTGACGTAGTATGCAATAAACATGACGTTATTTTTCTTGCGCGTTATAAAGTCAATTGTTATTATACTTTGTTTTATGAATAAATATTAAAAAATTGATCTCTAAAGTTTTATTTTGCTATATTTAGCTAGTTATAAGGTGGTATAATAAATTTATCATTATAGCAGTAACTTGATCCGAAGAGCAGTATCACGTCTCGTTGACAGGCAAGGATCATCAGATCAAACTCGACGCTTCGGGTCTCATTAGATCTCATGATCCGCGCCTGTCAACTCGACCCTTCGAATCAAGTTACTGTTGTAATAATATATAGTTATTGGCATATATATTACAGAATTACGCTATATTGTAAAAAAAACAAAAAAACCATATAATAATAAGATATATTCTTGAAAGCTGTATTTTAATTACATAAACATATTTGCTTACACTAATATACATTAAATCACTTACGTCATTTGCACTCAAATCTCTTTTAACCTTTTCACCCCTGACCTCTACTTTCCTCTGGGTCAAGGCCACACTAAGATCAGCTGATGGACAGCCCAATAAGGCGGCTGCATCATCCAGTGCTATCAAAAAATATCTCAAAGTTTTAGTGGCATGCAGATACCATATCATGTCAGAGTAATTTTTACAGCTGCAATTTTTACAAACATATTCAGTTGTATTCATTAATAACTAACCATGTAATTACTGAGACACTTACCTGCCATGTTACTCAGATCACATCCGTCTGTACCGTCCTCGTTACTTCTGTGAGAGAACTCCACGTTCCCTAACTTGAGGATGCTGGCAATCAGTTGGAACAGTGAAGTCACTTCCTCAGAGGAAAATCCTATCACTTCCATACCATGCTGAATAGAGAAGTCAAAACTCACAGAATACAATCACTGTATAATATCTCTATAGTGTGTCCTGTGCATAGCAGTTGCTAAATTCATCCCATAACAGAGATGTAATGACATAAGTACCTATTACTTTAGGGTCAGACTAATTTTGCTTACCATTACAATGTCAAAATTCTTCTGATCATTCATAGTAGCAACATCAGCATCGACCGTTCCTTTCAATATGCTGTAATCATCTATCTCCCTTGTTAGTTTTAGAGACTCTAAAAAAGGCATATCAAAACTTTAAATCTTTATCAGTAAATATGTCAACTTGAAGATCATTTCATTAGATATTTATAAATTGATGCCTACCGAGTGTGTTTAGTTTCGCTCCCTGTAACAGCTGGTAAAATATGTGGAAGTTCCTTTCTCCCTGCATCTGAACTGCTACTCGGGACTGAAATACACATAATATGCTGCTAAAGTTTAGCCCTCAAGAATTTTTTTTTTCATCCTGGATCTCTCTTTTATAATGTAAAACATGATTTTTATTTAAGATTCTTGTTAACTGTCTGAATTTTTCTTTTTTCTTTTTTTTTTCTTCTTGGGTAAAATTATTTTTTCTAATTTCTATGAAAATTTTTCAAAGATTCATAATTCTGACTCATTACAATCAAAGACTTTAGCGCAAAGAAGTTCTCAAAAGTAATCTAGTTTAAAATATTTTACATCTTCCATTTTAACTTGACAATAAGATTCAAACATAGGTAATCAGAGATTACAGAGCTCACCTCAACGTGTGTTGTCTTTAAGTAAGGCAAATTAAGTCACACAATTGATTAACAAAAAGTGTACATCCAAAAATGCAAAATTTATGCAATTTTGATACTTTGGAATAGACCTATATAAAAACTTAAAACTAGTTCTTCAGCATAAAAATGTAATTAAAATCCAGGAAGCAAGATTGAGAGTTTTCATCCCTTGATGCATCATTTGTGCAAGTTTAGTTTATATAAGCCTTATAGTTTCTTGGTAATAGACTTGCACCCATAACTTTTACGAAATCAAAAAAGTTGGAAAATGTATGTCGAATTCAGCAAAAGCAAGTCCATTAGTGTGCATCCTAAGATGTATCATCCATGCAAGTTTGGTCAGCATAGGGCTTAAAGTTACTTGCAAATGAAACCTGTATAAAAAAAATTAACCTTTCCACTAATCCAGAAAATGTAGGTCAGATTCAGCATCCGAAGCCAGCCTAGTAGAATGCGCCCTAGATGTACCATCCATGCAAGTTTGGTCATTATAGGGCTCAAAGTTACTTGGAAATGAATCCTGCACCCTAAACTTTAACCTGTTTACTCGTCCAGAAAATGCAGGTCAGATTCAGCATCCGAAGCAAGTCTGGTAGTATGCATCCTAAGATGTACCATCCATGCAAGTTTAGTCGTTATAGGGTTCATAGTACCTTGGAAATGAAACTGCACCAAAAATTTATCCTGTTCACTCAACCGGAAAATGTAGGTCAGATTCAGCATCCGAAGTAAGTCTTGTAATATGCATCCAAAGATGTACCATCCATGCAAGTTTGGTCATTATATGTCTCATAGTAACTTGGAAATGAAACCTGCACCAAAAACTTTAACCTGTTCACTCAACCGGAAAATGTAGGTCAGATTCAGCATCCGAAGCCAGTCTAGTAGAATACATCTTAAGATGTACTGTCCATGCAAGTTTGGTCATTATAGGGCTCAAAGTATCTTCGAAATGAAACCTTCACCAAAAACTTTAACCTGTTCACTCAACTGGAAAATGTAGGTCAGATTCAGCATCTGAAGCAAGTCTGGTAGTATGCATCCTAAGATGTACCATCCATGCAAGTTTGGTCATTATATGTCTCATAGTAACTTGGAAATGAAACCTGCACCAAAAACTTTAACCTGTTCACTCAACTGGAAAATGTAGGTCAGATTCAGCATCCGAAGCAAGTAATTAAATACATCCAAAGATGTACCGTCCATGCAAGTTTGGTCATTATATGTCTCATAGTAACTTGGAAATGAAACCTGCACCAAAAACTTTAACCTGTTCACTCAACCGGAAAATGTAGGTCAGATTCAGCATCCGAAGCAAGTCTAGTAGAATACATCCAAAGATGTACCGTCCATGCAAGTTTGGTCATTATAGGGCTCAAAGTATCTTTGAAATGAAACCTTCACCAAAAACTTTAACCTGTTCACTCAACCGGAAAATGTAGGTCAGATACAGCATCCGAAGCAAGGCTGGTAGTATGCATCCTAAGATGTATCATCCATGTAAGTTTGGTCAACATAGGGCTTATAGTTACATGGAAATGAGACCTACAGAAAAACTGCACCAAAAATGTTAACCTGCACCAAAAACATTAACCTGGTCATTCCTTTGCTGAAATTGCAGCATCTGAAACTTTGACTGGTACAATGAAACACACTAGAAACATCTTCCATGCATGTCTAATCAATATAGGACATAGAAGTACTTAAAAAGAAAACTGCTCCAAAAAACTTAACCTTAACCCGGGACGCCAACGCCGACGCCGACACCGACGCCGACGCCGACGCCGACGCCGAGGGTATCACATAAGCTCCCCCCAACTTCGTTGAGGTGAGCTAAAAATAATTTTGTGAAAGCCTGTAGCTTAGTTATGAAATCCCATCCTAGTCAGTTTAATAGAAGAATCATTGTCCTACCTTCTCTAATAAATCTGAAATAAAAAAAAAAGAAAAACCTTATCGTTCTCAAATCAATTGTCATCATTCAATTTAAATTTTTTTCCCTCCAACAAAAAGGATATTCTAAAGGAAATAAAGGGCAGATTTTATCTCATGCTTACAATTTGTTATCACTCCTCCAATAGGATCGCCCTTGTAATCAAACTCTATGTCCATATATTTTCCCTGAAATCAAAAAAGTTAGGACATTGAACCTATGATATCTACAAAAGCAGAGTCATTGATAAGATATTCCTAAAGTAAGCCATAAAATAAAACTTGTGTACTGGAATCTGTTGATTTCTCTGTATATAAATAAAAGTTTTTTTTGAACTAGTACGTATTTTTTTAAAATTTTATAGCCTCTGAATAGATAAAATAAGACGGTAGTTGGTTAACATAAAGGACTTACAAATCTGGAGGAGTTGTCATTCTTGTTGGTTTTGGCATTTCCGAATGCTGTAATAAATTAGAAGTGTGTTATTAGATTCATTTTCCCAGTCTCATTATTGAAATTGATAGCATAATCCTGATCTCAATGATGACAACTTTAGTCTTCAAGGTCCACAGTGTACATATCTCTAAATTTGATATTTATTCCCCCCGAGATCTAACATTTCTGTCACTAATACTCCATGTGCTAGTGACCTTTAACCCTTCACCTATCGGATTACCTTCTAGTACAGGGTTGGACTGCAGCAGTTGTTCTTTCACTGTGTCAATATTCTCTCCTTTCCCTGATACTTCAGCTACATACTGCATTATCACTTTACTGGCCTCTGAAAATTTGATATATAAACTCAGAGTACACTAGCAATTCAACCTCCATTTCTAAACTGATTTCCTCCAGTTTTATGCAGATACAATTAAAAAACACACCCTTATATTTTGCATAATAAGAAATATGCATCATGTATAATTCAAAAATAAAAACTTTGGCATAAAATTGTCCCCTGTATTTCAATGTAACTTGACCTTCAGACAAAAAGCACACTGACCTGTCTTGCCCGCACCACTTTCCCCCGAGATGATAATACACTGGTCCAAATGTCGGTCTCGCATAGATCTGTACGCCTCATCTGTGATGGCATATCTGAAAACAATTAAGACATACAAGTATATATTTCATAGAAAAAAATCAAATCTGATCTGATTTCTCTACTTATGATTAAATATACCCTAAGTATTTTTAATTACATATGTGGTGGGAGCTCGTAAATGTTCCTAGAGCGATATTCCTCAATGATGTTTGGTGTATACAGAGGGGTCGTCTTGTAGGGGTTAACAGAAACCACCACTGTTCCTATGTAAGTCTGAAAAATAGGCAAGTTACAGAATTAACAATGAGGGAAAAAATCTCTAATCTTATGCCTCATGTGAGGCCTTGCAAGAAATAAAAGTTTCATATTTTCAAAAATGAGACTGCAGCTCTATTTGGTCTCACTCAAGGAGGAGCTGCAGTTGGAATTCTCTTTTGAGTCTCACTTTTTTTACTTCCTCTCTGAATTTTTTCATAAAGATGAAACATTTTATAATAATTTCTGAGTAATTTCATAGCTTTTTTCTCCTAGTCTTTACAGTAATTGATTGACATATGGTTCCTTGTACCAAAGCTTAAATAAACAGGATACAGTAAACCGTGCTTATATTAAACATGCTTATAATGAATTTGCACTTATAACAGAGTGATTTTCATTCCTCATTACAGTATTTTAAAATAAAGTGCTAACAAGATATAAAGAGTTATGCTTATAACAAAACAATAATCTCTTCTAAACAAATAGCTGTTGTTTTTTTTTCATCAGACAGGAAGGTAATTTAATGGTTGCATATCAAAAACTTTGTCTATTCTACTTCAACACATGAAAGTAGTGCTTAGAATATATGCATCTCAACGAAAATATTCAATTACCAGGTTTTCATCAAATTAAATGAAAAAATAAGAGGAGGACTAACATTACATAACTCAACAGTGTACTAGGCTTTTAGTAACCATAGCAGCATGCTTACCAAGGTAAATGAAATCAGAAATTGATTTGTAGAATGAGGTATCTGGATACTTTCTGCACATTTCATTCAAATTAAACAAAAATTTTTGATATGATTGGCATATTTTATACATATACCCTTGTTTTTGGTCATAATTTGGTTATGCTGGTGACATTCTTAAATAGGTGTCAAACTTACACAGATCTGTTAACATGGGATTTGCACTTACATTAATTTGGTTACACTGTATTTGTGTTACATTGATCTAGTTGTGTAAGTATTGCACTTGCATAGATCTGGTTGTGTTAGTATCACACTTGCATAGATCTGGTTGTGCTGGTATCGCACTTGCATAGATCTGGTTGTGTTGGTATTGTACTTACATGGATTTGGTGGTGCTGGTATATTGTTCTTACATAGATCTGATTGTTTGAGTATCATACTTACATAGATCTGGTTGTACTGGTATATTGTACTTACATAGATCTGGTTGTGCTGGTTCATACTTACATGGATTTGATTGTGTTGGTTCCTACTTACATAGATCTGGTGTGTTAGTACATTGTATTGTACTTACATAGATCTGGTTGTGCTGGTATTGTACTTACATGGATTTGGTGGTGCTGGTTCATACTTACATGGATTTGATTGTGCTGGTTCCTACTTACATAGATCTGGTGGTGTTAGTACATTGTATTGTACTTACATAGATCTGGTTGTGCTGGTATTGTACTTACATGGATTTGGTGGTGCTGGTTCATACTTACATGGATTTGATTGTGCTGGTTCCTACTTACATAGATCTGGTGGTGTTAGTACATTGTATTGTACTAACATAGATCTGGTTGTGCTGGTATTGTACTTACCTGGTACATAGATCTGGTTGTGCTGGTATATCGTACTTACATAGTTCTGGTTGTGTTGGTATTGTAATTAAATATGGTATCATACTTATATAGATAGATGGTTGTGCTGATATTGTACCTACGGTACATAGATCTGGTTGTGTTGGTATATCGTACTTACATATATCTGGTTGTGCTGGTAATCTGCTTGTGTTAGTGTTGTACTTACATAGATCTGGTTGTGCTGGTAATATGGTTATGTTACTGTCATACTTACATAGATCTGGTTGTGCTGGTATATCATACTTACATAGATCTGGTTGTGCTGGTATCGCAGCCTGAGGTTTTCTATGAAGGCGTCCTCTGTCATGGGGTCCAGCAGCACAGCATCACTGACCCCGACATTGTTCTCCAGAATGGCCAGAGACCCCTGGTGCAGCGCCATGTTTGGACGTTACCAGTCACTCTTCACTCTGCAAGAAAACTCCCAATATTAATCACAGTCTCCTGACCTACATACTGTCATACTACTTCCTTCTAGAGCATTTAGTTGCCAAAACATCAAAATTTTTATATTCCACTCAATTTTCATTCTCTCTCCAAACCTACAGTAATTAAATTTATACACTTTGCTAATGTTAATACAATATCCGGTACCACTATCCAATTGTCCAGAATGTAAGTCTTTACGAAGCAGTGATCTAGAGTCTGTCTAGAGTTTGTCTGTAATGACAGCCTCCTAATAAGCTCTGTAAACAATCCCTCTTCTGCTTCCCTGACTCACCCACTTCAAATGACACAGTCTTCAGATTTAATCAACTCTCTAACTATAGCAGACTTTGTTTTAAAACCGAAGTTACCAGATGTTTAAACCAATCCCTTACAAAGAGCAATTTTCAATGCATATGTTAAACACAACAAAAAAACTTTGTGAAAGAAATTAATTAAAAGTTTTAAAGTTAAAATGAACAGATCACTGTGACAGGTACTTGTGGATAGGAACCCCCTCCCCCCTGTCAAAAGATTTTTAATATGTCTTTTTTCAGAAGTTAAGTTTTCCTTCTAATACACATATACAATCTGAATTCCAATAAAAAAATAAAAATAAAATAATACAGAATTAACAATTTATTAAAAAATCGTACCCGCAGTATTACAAAATACAGTATACACATGTAATAAAATTACAGGTCCCGTCCACACATACCTGTGATTATAGATCTGTCACACCTTAAACTAAAAATTGATTTTCAAAATCATTTATTTCATTCTGTACTGCTTTTGAAAACTGTAAAATGAAAATTTTACTGTGCATCTTCCATAATATACTAAAACTGTTTTTTTTAAATCCACCATGCACAACTTCTGAACCAGAAGTAATTAGGCCAGTTTTATGTGTCTAGTTAAAATACTTTGACAGGACACCCGTTAACTAGGATGCAACCTGATAAACACCCTTTTTTACTAAAATCAAGTCCAGTTCAAAGGAGCATACCTCGGATACTAAGTAGCCGAATAATTTTGTGTATTCTGTGAAAATCAAAATGAGACAGAAACAAGAATCCGCTAGATCATCAAATACACTCTGTCTTCTCCAATATCACACATAACCATGTCACACAAAAAATTAAAGGAAATAGGGGAATATATAGGTTTTATCACTTTCTTCTCATTTCTATTTTTATATTCCTCCGACTTTGCTATCTTTATTCATCACACCCAACATCCACAGCTTGACAGAGAACCATATTCTATTAAAATAATTTACTTCAAGAATGCGGTCAACATGATAAAGTTTTGCAAGTAAATCCAAAATAACTACACATCCTAAAGGAAATCTCTGTAAGTGAAGACTGGAATGATTATCCAAAGAAACTCTTTAAAAATCCATCAAGATTCCAGTTAAACATGAGATAATTCTATATCATATGACACTGAATGCCACACCCTATCATTGCAGCTGCCAGGCATCAGAGAAAATCTCAATTTCCAAAGACTGTGATAGCCTAGTCACAAGTTCTAATATTCCTAATGATACTAAGTATCAAACAAAACCACATACCCAGCAGATAATCTGGACCAGAATCAATTAGTCTGAAGCTGGACACAATGACATCATTCATTAAGCTGATTATTGTTATATATGACCACTACGGTGGTGTCACTAAAATATAAAGTAGTGTCAGATGGTTACAAACAGCCTAGAAGTAAATCAATAACAACAGGTGAAAAAGCAATGTCTGATGCAGACCAAAGACCAACATCAAAGATTAGGGAATTTCCTCATTATCTTTTTAGTTCTCAAAATACAAGAATCTTTTTTTTTTATTTCAAATAGCAGCACAATTTTATTTTCAATGTCGTCATGGCAACAACATAGCTTGATCAAAGATAAAAAAGGAGAGACATTCCAGCAACATTTGAGCAATATAAAGCATAACATTGTGGAATCATTCTAATTTGTGGGAGCATTGTATTACTACATGTATTTAAGCAAATAACTGTGAAACAATTTTAATTTGTGGGGGCAATATTCACCAAAATATTGCTGATTCTTGGAGACCTGATTTTGTGGATGACAGAGTTATTGTTTGTGGGAATCTTAATTTGTGGGCTCTGGTGACCCATGTAATCCATGAACATTCCCCTCCCCTTCCCCCTTTGTCTGTCTGTCTGTTTTACTGTAACTAACTCACTGCAATATTTATTATACCCTATGGGATGCATTTATACATGGTGACATAAAGCCACCTTGGAATAACACTTATATAAATTAATTACCGGGTAATAGGAATACATAATTTATTTCTATCTTAATGGAATGCTAATTATCTGATTCAATTGGGTCTTGTCCTTGGCTTACATGTACCACAGTTGACCTTGAATCAAAGTACTGTGAGTACTGAAAGACGGTGGCATGAATGAGTTTGTTTGTTTAACACCCCTTTAGAAAATCAAATTTTTAGCAGCGAAGGATATTTTTCTGGCTAGCAATTACTGCGACACGGGATCTCAATCTGAATTAAGGGCCGATATCCATGTCAAGTCGAATCCGCGACGCCGGTAAGGATGGACTTCTTCAGGTCCGTGAGTCCAAAGCAAACCTGCTACGTCAAATGGCGACTGGCAGTATATAAGAAAAAATGTTCTGAGATTTTGTAAAATTATATGGAAATTATAATAGTTTATTTCAATTTTTCACAATATATCTACCTGTATTTTAATATATAAATTTATATTTTTTTTGTACTAAAAAGTATAAAGTGTTATGAATTGTCACTGTTTTTGTCCCCCGCTTGAAAAGTGGGGGATATTAGTTTGGGTTTGTCCGTCCGTCCGTCCGTCCGTCCGTCTTTCTGTCTGTTTGTAACGCTTTCGTTTCCACACGATATCTCGAGAACCCTTTGAGCTTTTGCAATGAAATTTAGCATAGCAACTCCCTATGGACTCAAGAAGACCCCTATTGATTTTGAGGTCAAAAGTTCAAAGGTCAAGGTCATAAATAAGCAAATTCTGTCTGTTATAAAACTTTCGTTTCCACACGATATCTCAAGAACCATTTAAGCTATTGCAATGAAATTTTACATAACAAATCCCTGTAGCCTAATGAAGACCCCTATTGATTTTGAGGTCAAAAGGTCAAAGTTCAAGGTCGTAAATTTATACTTTCTGTCTGAGTGTAACACTATCATTTCCGGACGATATTGCAAGAAGATTTTGAGCTTATGCAATGTAATTCTATATCAAAACTCCCTAGGACCACTCTCACCCCTCTCAAAGTGCCCTGCCCCGTCTGTTTTATCAGTATTTATAGTATTACATGTCGCTATTTTTAGCACAGGGGCATGAAGAGAGTTATTGTTGCGTATAAAACAGGTTCTCTGCAGACGTTATGTTCTTATTACATCTATTAGAACTGTTTAATTAAGGCTAACTAAAACAAACACCGTTGATTGTGTAAAATTTTGACAATACCGAACATGAATATATACATGTATGTAACTTAATGATTGCATATAATTTGCCTCTTAGTAGAGCAGCCCCGTGGTCTAGTGGTATGTCTCTCGCTTCACATGCGAGAGGTCCCGGGATCGATTCCCAGACGATTCCTTATTTTTTTTTTCCCCGAAATACTTTTTTTAAATAAGTAATAGTAGTCAGCATGTGAAATGAAAAAATTTATGAGGTGTGGCTTGTACAAACTCATAAGATCATCATTACAGTGTGTTAAATATTCCATATAAAAAGAATCTTCTATACACATAATAAAGAATAAGCAATCAAATCTTTATATCCATATTGCCATATTTTATTTGCTTCAGTATACATATATACATTTAATAATTCTACAAATTCAGTCAGGGGGATCCGACTCCCTCCTCCCCACGAACTCTGCATTGTTTACTTTTTCCCTAAGCGGGGGACACAAATTCTCTGAATTAGCTTGTCTAAAATTGTTACTATCCTATTATAATTTTCATTAAAAAAACATAACAAACTTCAAATTGGTATATGCATAAATAAACAATTGCAAATTATCAGATTTCATTTAATGTGTTTTGTCGCCTTATGACACACGGATGATAATGATTTCAAAATGTCTAAAGCAGCGTCATGTTTCTTCTTTGCTAAAAATAAGTTGGATAATTCCAATTAAAATTAAGGAATTTCATTGATGCACATAGTTGAGTTTCCCTTAATTCTTCAAATAACAGCCAGAAACCAATCTCGCGCACAAACAGGACCTTGTGAAGAATTATTAGTACTAAAGTTATGGACAATATTTTTACTATCATTCAACAAAAGAATTTTATATATATTGGCTGTCAACATTGACAGCGCCTTCCGCTATTCCTGTAGCTGTTTGTTCTACCCTTTGATTTGATTAAAACGATTTCGCTTAGAAAACTCCCATTTCTCTAGTACACTAAAGAGGAAAAAACTGAACTGCTTTCCAGTGCGTAGTATCGTCATCGAACGTCGCCGTTTATCGTGTGTAGGATTTACCACTTTCCTATTTCGGATGTTTGATAAATTGATAAAATAATTAAGCAAATGTCCTTAAATTTTCCAAAAGACGACACAATAGATAGTGAATAAAAAATAGGATAATGTTTTCCAAATTACTATTTAATATTTTTATTTCAAAACAATACTCATGTATTATTTTTAAAACCTTTTTTTTCGTGCGTAAGTACATTGAAGCATTAATGAAGTATCAATTTTTTGTCTATATTTTATCAAAAGAATTCAGATACACTAAAATATGATAAATAAATACTTGCGAAAAATTTCATCTTGCAGCGCCTACTATTTTTCGGAGAAAACGCTTTGTACACGACAACCCTCGTATACTGCTCGAAAAAAAAGATAGAAAAAAAAGAATAACAAAATATTTTTCTGTCTCTATTTTCCGTCGTCTCAAGTCACGATCGGAGTCTGTATATATGCGCATGAAGCTTTCTCCAGAATGGGAGAGGATCGTACATATTGGCTATGGTTTGCGATGATGATATTTCTCATACGTAATATTCTAATAATTATGCAATAACCCTGCAAATCATTGCGCAATACATATTTACTGCTTTGTGAACACACCAGAAAACTGACCTAAATTTAGCCCACTAAAATCGCATAAAATCCTAATATTAGTATTATTACATGCACATGTATTTGAGTACCTTTTTGTACACCCTTTAAAGGGTAAATTTACAAGAGGCACGTAACTTAGAGTTTCTAAATAGGAATGAAATAAATGGGTAAATTGTCCGTTATAGTCTTTGTAATTATAGCTTTGACAAATTTTTATCCGTTGAGTCGTTTTTGTGTCCGAGATAATCAGACAAAGTCTTATTTTTTAAAACTAGAATGGTAATAAACTTAGCAAATTTTATGAAATCATATACCTCCAACAACCATTTTATTAACTGATTAAGATGTAGTGATCTTTTTTCTTCTTTCCTAAAATACATGTATTCGTTTTACTAATATAGCATTTTACAGAGATATAAGAAATTCAATCAAAAAGACAATGTTTGTTAAATTTCAGTAAACTATTTTTAAGTTTTATTGTAAAAAAAAAAAATTCACAAAGCAGTATTCAAGAAACAACCGTGTGCTGTTTAGCAGTATTTGATTTCGGAGTTAGATAGTGAAACAATCATACAATGAAATTTTCAAATATTTTTCAACAATTAATTGATAATTTTAAGAAACACAATGTGCGTACGAAACGGATTTTTCGAACATGTGAGAAAAAAAAATGTACAAATTGACATCTGTAGTTTGCATACGAATATACGAGTCGGTTGGTGTACGAGTTAGTTTAGTTCGGCGTAACTCAATGAATATTCATGAGGCGAGAAATATTGATAACGGCAAATATCAGGAATTAGGCTTTGTATCCATCAACGAAATATTTTTGAATAACTTGAAAGTATTTGTAAACTGTGTACATTTTATTTTCAAACATCGAAATAAGTCTACTTTCATTATTTTTACTCTGCAAAAATCGCCGCTAGGGTCCCCGTGTGTTTACACAGACCAGCAGCAATAGCCTGTGGCTATATATAGCCACCGTCTAAAAAGGATAAAATGCTAGCATGTGTTGTATAATTGTACAAAAATGGTATTACGTTGTACTAAAATATTATACATTATAATACATGAACTTATTAATTTATCTATAACACTTCAATATGGTACCACTAGAACTTCTGTCCTTCAATATGTTACCACTAAAACTGTAACACTTCAATATGGTACCACTAGAACTATCTTCCTTCAATAGGTACCACTAGAACTATCTTCCTTCAATACGGTACCACTAGAACTATCTTCCTTCAATAGGTACCACTAGAACTATCTTCCTTCAATATGGCACCACTTGAACTATCTTCCTTCAATATGGTTCCAATAGTACTATTCCTTCAATACAGTACTACTAGAACTATAGTATCTCAATACAGTACTACTAGAACTACAGTCCTTCAATTCAATACTACTACAATGATTGTCTAGAACTACTGAATCTGCCGCTTACAGTAAGACTGATACAACATACAGTTTCCTTCTGAGAGACACCTTGTCTAGCATGGGATTAGTTCCTCTCTACTTTCATTTCGTCACACATATAGGCCTAGTCTACTGACAGACATACACATACTTACCTAATAGGAGAGTTGATTTCTTTATACAAAATTAAGTTTTATCTGAGAAAATTCCTGAGTGTTCCTGATGAAACAGAAAACAGGGAGATACACAAGATAGTCTTTTTGTCTGGCAGAAAAGGCGAGCCTAGCTTGGCTGTATCACACAACGAGATAAAGTGTTTTCTACTTCAGACCATTAACTTCACTTAAAACCATCAAACTGTTATTTATACATTACAGCATGATATCAACATGACATCTTGAGAAAACAATATGAAAACAGATCTTTTTCTCCTTCAAGGGAAGTGCATTTAATTTTCCTATGCATCCTATGTGGTAAAGATGTAAACCAGTTAGATAGTCTCGTAAATCCAAAAATAGACCAGATTTAACACTAAAAATAAGCCGCAAACATTAAGCCATTCAAAACTCCTTATACAATCAAAATGTTTTAAAACTTGAATGTGAAATAAAAATAAACTCTTGTACACATTTTTATATTTAAAAAAGCTCCTATGCAGTAACTTTTTTATAAGATTAAATTACCGAGAAAAAAATAATGGCTTCCATTATCATGCAACAGCATTTACATTGTATACCATCTCCAAAATACACAAAAAGCTTTTATTCAAATTAAAAGCAGGTATTAACTTGCAGATAACATCTGTTAGTAATTAAATAGATAAATATTAAAGTTATTTCAACAGAAACACATTGTAATTAGCATGTATCAATATACCTAAATTGCAGGAGAAACTTGAAATGCAAAATGTAAATCAATATAAAAAATATAGTGTAGTTCATAATAACCATATCAAAACATGGGGTATGTATGAATGAAATACCCCAACAGATTTAATACACACCTGATTAAATCTGAAAACTTCCATAAAGGTGAGAGGTAAAGAAAAAGTAATGAATTCATTATTAGAATAAAGCTTTTTACAAATAGGTTAAAACTCTCACATTAAATAAGATGGAACTTCAAAAGGCAGTCTTACCTTTTTCTTTAAACTTTAGTTGAGCTGTCCCTTACACTAAGTCATGAATGTCTAATCTCCTCAAGTAAACAGCCATTTTCTGGGGATCTACAAGAAAACTCCAAGGTTTACCTATACCCTCTCACTGTCAGGTATATGTTAGTCCAGTACAGTTTGTTCAAATGATAAAAGCATTTAACAGGTACAGGGCTAGAGAGCCCCAGAAATAAACACTTTATCAAAACCATGCAATACCACTTCAAAATCCATGTATGTCTACAGAGTTGTAAATAAGTTCCATCAATGGTCTGAAGATTATAAATCCATTTTTACATGACATGCATTAGAGAGGTGGGTTTTTTTAAAGGGAGAAAAAGAGGCTTCCGACTTCATCAACCCTTTCATCTGATTTGCAGCTTGAAGAGCAATGCACCATATCTACAACATTAAAGGAATTCAAGGTCGGGAAGCTTCTGGCAGGAACAAGGAAAATCTTTGTTTACTGAATCTGATCTTTATGGTAAAATTTAGCAAGGCTGTATCAGTTCAGACCTAACTGTGACTGACAATGGATTTTCAGGGATGATTTCAAATTCTAGGTATAGATCAACGATCTATAGAAATAAAATACAGAACAGTGCATAAGAATAGATGATAAACAATACTGAAATTTCTTATAGCACTGCCAGATAAAACTGAAAACCAAATTATTCACAACAACAGACAAAATAATTATTATATTGTAAAAATATTGAATATTCTATTTGAGGAACTTTAACCCTAAAAAGATTTTTACAGGGCTCCCGCTGGACCGAAAATATTTTTCGCCACTTTGCGCGACAAAAGGAAAGGCATACTTACATCTGATTTCTCGACAATGCAATGCACTTTATGTTATTCAATTTTTTTTATTATGTTTATCACAGAAATTGTTTTAAAATTGTAAATTTAAAGCTTAGGATAATATCCATTTAAAAAAAGAAAAAAAAAATAATGTTGGAATTAAACAATTAATTTGATATTGAATTGATATCAGCCAACTCTTGACAGAAAATGTCCTCTTGTTTGTAATTTTTTTTAGCATGGGAAGGGGGATATGGGGGCTACAGACCTAGTAAAAATGTATGACATTTTTTAAAAATGGAAATTTTCCTCATTTCATTAATTTATTGTGAAAAGAAGTAATTAAAAAGTAATGAAAGTTAGGTTTAAAACTTGACTTTATGACTTTTGGAGACTCCAGGGTTTAATATGCAAGGTCATGTAATTGTAAATATTTCAGTGTAATTTACTAACATAATTCTGTTTCCAAACCAATTTCTTTTTCAATCTTTGTCAGTTTAATGGTATAATGTACACATTTTTCAATTTTCATTAGGTAAAATTTAAAGCCATTCTCAGAGTTCTTGAAATATTTTTTCCACTGTCAGTCATTTGGACTGACTGCCACAGGAAGTTTGTCGGTCCAGACAGATTTCTATCAGTACAACAAAATAATAAAACATAATTTTAAGAAGATTAAAACTGTATTTGAATTTATTATCATTACATTTGATTTACAATATTTGTCATGTTTCCCTACTTTCGGTTAAAAAAAAAACGATGTACATAGATCCAGATTTTGTTGATAAAAATCTTTTATTCACTAACTTCATTTCCTAATAACACTTTATCCCCCTTGTTTAATCAAAATAATATTTTTTTCAAACAATTTTGTAACCCTTTACTGCTCCAGGCTAGTTACCTAGTCAGCTGTGTTCGTTCAAGCGAGACGTGATTTCCTACATGTAGGTTTCAGTTTTCACACCTCTCAGCTGCATTAAATAAACAAAGGGACTTGTCTGTATACATTGAATAAACAAAGGAACTAACTAGGACTTTACAAATTTTGTACATAGTACATCTAAAAAATTCATTTTCGCCACTTATGAATTTCTTTTCGCCACTTTTGAAAAAAAAATTGCAATTGGCGACAATGGCGAATCACAGCTCGAGCCCTGTTTTTATCTTCATACTGAACAAATTTGATCACCATATATAGAAAAAATGTAAAAGGACACTTCTTAGAATCATCAGAGATAACAATTTTTGCAAAGAATCAAGGAAGGGGGGAATAGAATAGTTCAATCTGCTGTTATGACAGCCATCTTGGAAATCTAAATGTAACAGTTTCACAATGAAGTCAAGCATCCCCTTGCAAGAGCAAATATTTCCTTACAAAAAAAATCAAACATTTCCTTACAATGAAATCGTACTTAGAAACTTGCACATTGAGATGGATGTTTAAGATATCCAGAGAAATATTCAATTTACTGCAACACAGGAACTCAATTTATGCATCTCATCTGAAGAAACGGTCTCCACATCCCAACTAGGGATTCAAACCTGCGACGTAAGGATCAACTCCTTACTTCGCGACTCTAGAGCAGATGCTCTAACCACTGAGGCAGCTTTTTCAAGAATGAAGAATCATTCAGATGTTAATAATATTATATAATCAAGAATTTCTCTATCTCCCCCCTCTTGCTCTCTCCCTCTCTCTCAAAAGAAACAACTGAATACAAGAAGTGAAAAAGAAAAGAATGAACAAATGCCACCCACTTTCTCCTTTAAAACAAATCTTACATGCAATCTTTGAAGACTATGAATTTAATATCAATCAAGAATCAGATGGAGTTCTGAGTAATCTACAATCATCCACCTCTAGAAACCAAAAGTGATAGGATTTCTATGGGCATTAACTTGTTTACATTTGATTCTCCTGACACAATCTTGATAAAGAAATCAAAAATGAGTAATAATTAATGTTTTATCCATTCCGCAAACATCAAACAGGGAAAATACACCTGTGGCCAACAAGACAGGCCTTATCTTAATGTAGTGTATACATAGCAGGCTATTTTGAGAGTCTCTAAATTCTGGCTAATCACAGGAAGCACTGCCTCCTCCTCTAAACAAAGATGTCATTCAATACCTATACCTGTAGGAAGGATACCTCTGTAATGTCAACACAGATAAACCTGGGCCGAAGTCTGGGGAATACTCGAACAACTCTACTTCTAATACAAATCAATCTTATATAACTCTGAAAGTCATCCTTCAAAGTCAAAAGCTTTTAACAAATGGAGAAAAAAAAATTACCAATACACTTTAGTCTAAGAATTAGAGTACATTATATAATGATCGTTAGAATGCTAAATCGTAAGTAGACATATCCAATTCAATTAATATCAATTAAGACCTCAATTCCTGTCAAATGAATTTTAAGTTTGATAGTACATGTATAAAGCTTTCAGAAATGGTTAAGTGTAGATAATGATTAGCTGAGACATTTTCAAGTATCTGAAAGGAATTAATATTTATGATTATCACAAAGTAAAGCTTGGTTATAACGAAGACATTGGGACCAATGAAATTACTTCACTATATCCGTAATTCATTGTATCAAATAAGGAATTAGTTACATTTATATAGCTGGGGATATAAGATAACTTTGCTATATCCAAGAATGAAATTCAATTCACAATATCTGTGTTCATGCTAAACAAGTTTTACTGTATGAACTTTTAAAAGAAAAAAACAATAGGGGCAAGAAGTTGATCTCAGTAAAATGAATTTCTTTATTTTATAAAAGAAAAACGGAAGGGAAAAACTCTTGGGAAGATAAAATTTAATTATGTGTTCACACTTACAAAAATGTAGGGATAAGTGTTTTCAGCCAAAATACTGCTAGCTGTGCAAACACAGTCTGCTCATAAATGCTTTATGGTATATTGGCAGAACCACTTTATGTCACAACCGAAACTCCTCTAAAAACCAATGTTTGATATTGCCACTTCTGAGGAAAGAAAATATTGCCTATCTGTCACAGAATCAGATAAACCCAGAACCTCTACTGTGCTTATCAAATATTACATTGTGCTTTCTGCATAAACTTATGAGAGGGTGCAAACAAGTCAAATAGTGTGAATTCCATGGTAAATATTTTTTTCTGGCAGAAATTTCTATTTCATAGTGAGTACAGCTATCAGTGCTTTGCACCAATAGAAGAAGTGAGCTCTTTATACAAGAGTGTATAAGAACAGAGAAAATTCAAACTGAAATCTGTAGGTTCAAAAACTTATTTTTTGTGTGAACTCTTAATTTCTAGAAAGTTTTTTTGCCACCATGATTCCATGAAATAAACGTGAATATAAAAGGCCTGCAGTAATTATGAACAATTTACTTCTTGCAGTTTAAAAGAAACAAATAGTTGCATCTACTCTACTTTTGTAAAAAAAAATATTGCACAATTTAGAATTTGAGATTAATGAGTGCAACTAATTAAAATACAATATCATGTGACACACTTGTGAGGTTACAATTTGCAAATAGTAAAAACCTTTCATTAAACTTGATCTACTGCTTCAACAATCTGAATTGTAATTTCATAACTGTTACAGTTTGAAATGGAATCTGTAATGCATCATAATTAAATTAAAAGTATTGACCTTCACTGGCAGAGGGACAAACTTTTCCTTCCATGTGTTTTTTTAGGTCTCAAATCTTTTTAGACTTCTGTCTTCAGCTTTTATATGAAAGTTGTGCACATGGAAGACATTACCTTGCAAAGAATTAAATTCATTATCAATGAAGTCTACATATCATCACCTGTGCATTTCTTGATCTCGATATTGGCAAAAAAAAATTAATTTAAATTGCTGCTTTTCGGTATTCATATAAATCCTTGCTGTATGTTAGCTGAAAATTATTAGCTAACATCAATGTCACCTGATTTGTCAATTATTGAATTAATTTTTTTCCCCAAAATTTAGAATAATTTCTTAAATATATTCAATCTAGAGACTAGCATCTGCATATTGTTTAGATTTCTAACATGTAACAAACATAACAAGAACCTTTCTGACTGGATAAATTCAAAAATAACTCACACAGATATTTTTTCACTTAAAGAAAGAGAGAGAGAGATTGATTATGACTCATTCTAAGACTGCTGTTACGCATCGATTACTGCATATTTCAAGATATCGGATTTTAAAGTGCACCGGTACCCAGACCAGTGCAAGCGCATGGAATAACATTGGTTTACCCTGCATTGCACTTAAAACTTTGTACCTTTTTTCTCAAGAAAGATTTTTCTTCATGTCTCCCAGATTTTCAATGTCTTCGTCTTTTATCAACCAGCTGATATATCACTTGGTTCTCGTTGCCACCACTGTCAACATTGTCCTATCAACCGGAAATTCATTTCACGCATGTGTTAACATTTAGTTATCTCGATCAAAAAATCAAGTGTTGCAACATACTTTTTTACAACAATCTCAGATATTGGAAATATTTTTCGAAAACATAAAAATCTACTCAATATTTTATTTTTTATGATTAATGTTTTATTTAAAGCGTAAAG